AGTATCTCGCCCCCCTCATTTCATTGTTCATTCTATACCTCACTATCCTTCTCCATCTGCTTTCCCCCCATCCCTTTCTCAAGTATTCCGGTAAACCCTCCTCCTTCCATTCTCCATACCATCTATTGTATCTCGACTCTCTTATCTTCTCCCATCTTTCCTCCTTTTGCCTTTCTCTGTCCTTCTGCTCCCATCCCTCATATACTTCCTCCCCCCTTTCTCTCTTTTTTCCCTCCTTTCCTTTCCTTACCCTCTCCTTCATCTCCTCATAGCATTTCCTCGCTAAACTTCCTCCCATTCCTTCCTCTAATTTTTTCTCATACCCTATCGCTCTTCTTCCTGCTCTTATCCTGAATTTATCCTTTCCTATCTCTTCTCTTACCATATACCCCGGCGTACACCAATCTACTCCTAGCGTCCACCTAATCCATCTTTCCTGCATTGCCTCTACTTCTCTCCTCTCCTTCCACCCCCATATTCCGCCCCATACTCCATCACCGTTCCCACCAACCTTTCCATTAACCATACTCTTTTCATCCAGTCTCCTGCAAATCTTCTCTTTCCCATACCCCATACTTGTCTCATCACCGCTCCTGCTTTCCTCACTCTGTCCCTCACCTGCGCCTCCTGTCCTCCATTCCTTTGTAACTTATATCCTAGATACTTGAACTCTTTCACTTCCTCTAATTTTTTCCCTTTCCATCTCCACTCCATTTTCCTCATTCTTCCTCCTCCCCTTTCTAAACCTCATTATTTTTGTCTTATCCACATTTACCTCTAGCCTTTTTTTATCCATGTAATTTTCCATTTTCCCCAACATATGTATCATCCCCTCCTCCTCCTCCGCCAACAACACCATGTCATCAGCATATGCCAAGCAGTGCACTTTTTCCCCTCCCAACTTTACTCCTCCCCAGCCTCCTTTTTTCAGCACTTCCTCTATATCCGCTATCAACAAATTGAACAAGTGTGGGCTCATTGGACAACCTTGCCTCACACCCCTTGCCGTCCAGAAGTTTTCTCCTTCCTCCTTCCCCGCTCTTACTTTACTCCTCGTTCCTCCTTGTATACCTCTTCTATCCTACTACTTAACCCTTCTCTTACCCCCCTCTTCCTCATCGCCTCCATTAACACCTCCCTATCCACTGAGTCAAACGCCGCCTTCAGATCTATGAAGGCCGCTACTACCTTACCTCCCTTCTTCTTCACTTTTTTATTGATCAGGTAGTTTAGCACATATATACTGTCAATCACCCCCATTCCCTTCCTAAAGCCTGTTTGACTCTCCGGCAACATATTCCCCCTCTCTATTTCCTCCTTTAACCTTTCTGTTAGAATCCCCACATACACCTTATATAACGTTGGCATCAAAGTCACCCCTCTGTAGTTTTCCACCCTATTCCCCGTTCCCTTTTTTAACAGTGGTACTATTATCCCCTCTTTCCACCTCTCCGGCCATCCTTCCCCTCTCCAGACTCTGTTGCACATTTCCCATACCCACTCTTCTACCCTCTCTCCTCCATATTTCCATACCTCACTCGGTATCCCATCCTCCCCCGCTGCTTTTCCTTTCTTCAATTTTCCCAATATCCTCTTTACTTCCCCCCTGCTTATCTCCTGCTCCTCATCCCTCTCCCTTTTCTCTTTTCCTCCTCTTACAACTTTAACCTCTACCCCTCCCAATAAGTCCATGAAATATTCCTTCCACTCTTCCGCTTTTATCTCCTCATTCACTCCTTCTCTCTTCTTCTTCCTTTCCCTGTTTATAATTTTCCATACCTCTCCTTCCGTTCTTGCCTCTATCGCTTCCTTGTACCATCTTATCCTCTCCTCCTCCCTTTTTCCTTTACACATTAGCTTATATTCTGCCCTTTCTTTTCTGTATCCTTCTCCTCCCTCCTCCTTTCTTCCTCCATTCCCTTAGCTTTCTCCTCACTTCTTTCCTCTTCTCCTCACATTCCTCATCCCACCACCCTTTCTTTTTTTCCTTCTCCACTCTCTTTTTCTCCTTCTCTCAATTCCTCTTCTATCCTTCCTATTTTTTCCTCTAGCTCCTCTTCTATTCCCTCTTTCCATTCCCTCTCCCCCTCTCCCATTCTATTTCCTCTCTTATCTTTCTCCTCCCCTCTTCGTCCATCTCCCCTTTTTTCTTATTCCTTTTCCTTCCTTCCTTTTCCCCTTTTCAGCACCTCCTCTTCTTTCTAACGTTACAATCAAAGGGTGATGGTCCGACTCTATGTTATCTCCCACCTCCATTCTCTTTATCTTTTCCTTTACTCTATCCTCTCCCACCACATAGTCTATCACCGATTCCCCTCTTCCTCCTGTATATGTGTACTCCCCCCTCCCTATCCCCTCTAATCCCCCTCCGTTAAAAATTCCCCATCCCACTTCTTCTAGCTCTTTTATCAACTTCCTCCCTCCTCATTTACCTTCTTGTCCTTCGATCTTCTTTCCTCTTCCTCCTCTCCTCCTATCACTCCCCCCCTTCTACCTGTCCTTGCGTTGAAATCTCCTCCTAAAATCGTCCATTTGTCTTCTTCTTTCTCTTCCATCCATTCCTTCATTTCCTTCCATTTTCCTTTCCATGTCCCCGTTAATGTATATACCTATTACCCTCCACTTCTCTCTTTCCTATCCTACCTCTAAATCCGCCATCATTATTCCCTCCGTCTCCTTTTTCTCCCATTCCTGATACTTTTTATCCTTCCCCTCTCCTCCTTTACCACCCCCCCCATGATCATTCCCCCCATCGGTCTTCCTTTCTTCTTTCTCTCTTTTTTGCTGCTTGCTTCTCCCATCTATATCCTTTCGGTAACCTCTTTTTAATCGCCTCCCACCCCTTTTCCTTCCTATCCATGTTTCCATCATCACCACTACCCCCTCCCAATCCTCTATTTCCTTCCATTTTCCCTTTTTAACTTTTCCTTTTTTCATTCCTGTCTTTTTTCTTTTTCAACTCCCTTCACTTCTCCTATCTTCCATTCCTCCTTACTTTCTCCTTTTTCCTTCTCTCTTGCTCCTTTCTTCTGTCTATCTCCGTCTCCCTTTCTCCCTCCTCCTTTCTCTTCTTACTACTCTTCTTCCCTTCTCCTTTCCTTCCTTCCTTTCTTCTCTTCTCTCTCCCCTCTTCTATCCCTTTTTTTCCTCCATTCTTGTCTTCATGCCCCCCTCTTCCACCCCCATTTCCTTTTTCCATTCCTTCTCTAATTTTCTCCTTTCCAGTTCTTGAGCACTCTTTCTTCTCCTCTTCCCATTTCCACCAAACATCATTGATTTTTATCCTACTACGTAGTTTGTCCCCACCTTGTTCCCTTTCCTCTTTTCTTCCTCCGCAATTTCCATTATTCTCCATTTCATCTTTCTTTCCTCCCATGTTAGGTCGTCCTCTATCCTCACCCTCTTTCCTCTTAACAGACTCTTTTTTTCCATTACCTGTCTCTTTTGTTCTCTGCTGCCTAGTCTTACAACCACCATTTCTCCTTCCTTTCCCTCCTTTCCTTTCAAACCTTCTTATCCATTCTATTTCCGTTTTCGCTCCTATTTCTTTCATTATTTTCTCCACTCTTTCTTTTACATCTTCCCTTCCCTTCTATTCTTCTTATCATCACGATGTTATTCCTTCTTTCTTCTCTCTCTTTCCACTCTAACTTCTTTCCTATGTCTCTCATTTTCCCCCCATTATTGACTCACCTACCCCCTTACTCCCTCCTTCTCCCCCCCCTCCCCCCTCTCTTTCCTTTCTTCTCTTTCTTCCTTTTTCTTCTCTTCTCTATTCTTGCCTCCAACTCTATCACCCTTTT